AGCATATTAATCTTTGCATTTTTGAGTGAAAATTTCATTTTTGTGAATCAGACACTGATTATCATGCTGAAAACTAAGTTAAACAAGCAATTTATATTCAGTATCCTAAGGGCAATGTTCCCACTTTAGTCGGTTTTTAGTAAGAACTGTTTTCCTATTTATGGATTCCTGGAGTGGTGAAGCTGCGGACCCTTCACTGTTTAATCTGTAGTATCAGACATGCTTGAGACATAAACCTAGAAGCTTTTGTCTGCTGAGGAAACATTTAAATATGTAAAATACCTTATTTTCACTCTCAGTGTCCAGAGAGCTGGTGATTTCGTCCAGGATGAGGACCTTGGGCTGTCTGACGAGAGCTCGAGCGATGGCGATCCGCTGCCTCTCACTTTTAGCTAACTGACCTCCACCTTCACCCACCTCTTAGAAATGGACAACATCATAAAATCAAAGATTTAGATTTAATATGCAAAATGTAAAAAAAACCAACCCAAAATACAAGAAACATGAATCACACTAACTCTCAAAAAATGCATTTTTTTTATGCACAGAGTCAAGTTTGCTGCAAAATTTTATCAGACATACAAATGCAGGTCTGCATGCAGCCATGTAGAAAAAGCCTGTGAGGAGTGTTCACCTGTATCGTAGCCTTTCTCCAGCTGCATGATGAAGTCGTGGGCGTTGGCTTTCATTGCTGCTTCCTTGATTTTATCTAAAGAGCATCCTTTAAGCCCGTATTCAATGTTTTGTCTGATAGTGCCAGAGAACAGCACAGGCTCCTGGTTCACCACAGCAATCTATTGAACACACATAACACATTATACATATAGACACATGTGGACTTCTTACATAGATTATTAATATAACAATTCATCTCTTTTGTCTCCCTCCCCTCACTCCCAACCCAGTCTCAAAAATGAGTGTTTCCTTCACCCTGTCACTAAAGTGCGTGCTCATAGGGGTTCATCTGATTGTTGAGCTGTTCTGTTTTCATTGTGTGGTCTCTACCTTACAATATAAAGTGTCTTGAGGCAACTGTTGTTGTGATTTGGTGCTATATTCATTAAACTGAATTGAAACTTGAATTGAATTAGGAATTTACACATTTAATACCATAACCGTTTAATTTTGTTAAATTTGAACAAACAGGTAATTTAAAAACAGACAAGAGACTGACGCTCTAATCAAAGAACAGCTTGATTGATCAGGAAAAAGCTCTGATGATGAATTACCTTCTTATGGAGGAACTGGTGATCATAGGATTTTAGTGGTTTTCCATCCAGCTGTATTTCTCCATCCTGAGGCTCGTAGAAACGCTCCAGCAGACTCACACAGGTACTTTTTCCTTCTCCAGACGGACCCACCAGTGCCATCATCTGACCAGGCTTCAGCTCCAAGGAAAAGTCCTGAAAAGAGTGATAAGTGTAAGAACAGCAGTGGTTATAGTAACAGAATAAATGGATAGGACAATCACACCCCCACTAACCAAACCATCTGTCCTGCCATCTCACCTGCAGCACTGTTTTGTTGGGGTTTGCAGGATAGGAGAAGTTGAGACTCTTGAAGCTGATGTGTCCTCTCAGCTGATCAGGTTGGAGTTTTCCGTCTGTGCTGACCAGAGCCTTTCGGTCCAGGTATTCAAACACTTTCCCAGCAGCCCCCACTGAGTTCAGCATGTCACCAAAGATGTAGGTGAGCGTCTGGAAGATGCATTACATTAAAACATGTTTTAATTTACAGTGTCTATAGGTGCAGTATGTTAAATGCATTCATTTTCTCAGATAACCAGATGTTTTAAAAAGTGTAATATTATATATATTTTAGTCTAGTTTAAAAGCTCTGAACCACTGAAACATCTTAGGTCATCAGATCTCTCTGCCATCTCTGCTGAGGATCACCTAAAAATGTTGTGAGGCTGGTGTAAGGTCTTATGTTCCAACAATAAATATGTGTTTGTATTTAATGCCTTTTACCTTAAGAGTCTACAAATTGTACCTCTTATTTATCAGCAAATGAATAAATGGTGCCACGGGTTGTATGAATTGTCCTGCCAAAAGTAATAAAGTACTTTGGCATGCCAGATGTGAGCCGTGGTTGTATGAAAGTAAATGATAGAGCACAAAGCATTATGGGATACCCTGATGTTGTCTCCAAGATTTGACTGGTACAGGATGAAGGAAACGAGGTTCCCTGTGGTCATCTGTCCTCTCTGAATGAAAAGCCGACCGTAGTATAACACAAAGACCTGCATGACCAGCCCTGTCAGCTGTAGACACACACACACATTACATGGTGTTAAAACTGTAATACACAATGATCTCTGAGAAACACACAAAAAAACAGTAGCTTCTCACCCTCCGTGCAAGCAGGTAAACAGCCCTGACAGTGGACTGTCGAATGCTGAGCTTGTGTGTGTCCATCAAGCAGTTGTCATAGCGACGGGTTTCGTGTTTTTCTGTGTTAAAGCTCCGTACCACGCGAATACCAGACACGACCTCATTTGCAGCTTCATTTGCCAAAGCCATTGAGTCCTGCATCGCCAAAGACAATCTCTGAGGAGATAAAGGAGAAGGAAATATAGAAATATAGTTAAGTATTATTAGTAATTTTGCTCTTGATCACAGGGAACAAGAGTCCTGTGTTATCAACATGAACAAATCAATCATTATAGTGGAAGGAGATATGTTTAGAGTTTAATATTACACATAGGAGAAATCTTTTTTGTTTTAGTCTGTAAGACGTACACATGCTTTGATCTGAACCAATGCTTCAGAATTTTTCTGTTTTTTTTGTGCAAACCAGCCTTAGACCTATCAGCACATTGTCAGGTGGTGTGAAAATTCTTATCTCCAGCTCAACATATCAAAAACCAAGGTCATGATTTTGGACTTGAGGAAAAATTCCAGCACACCTGATGCCACAAACATCAAAACTCAAACTGGGATGTGTGAAATCATATGAGTCTCTGGGGAATTATATTGATTCAAGACAGAATTTTGACAATCTGTGAAGACGTTCTGCAGATCAAATTGTAATTCATTGTCTCCTGTTAACCTGCTTTTACCTGGTAATGTGTGTCATAGATGTTCTGTATGAGGCCGGTGATGGGAGTCTCCATCAGTACGAGAAATGTGAGCTTCCACGAGAGGCTCAACATTAGAGAGATCATGCCCATTGTTTTGATGAATGTCCTCAGCAACACGTTGACATTCAGACACACTGTTCTTCCCATCAGGGTGGTGTCTTTGGACAACCTGGATGTGATTTCACCTGCACGGAGAAAAAAAAAAAGGTTACTTTGTGCCATCTTCAGTCTATTATGTAACCAACTGTTCAGGCTTTATCTGACATGCTTTGTCCTTTGTGTGCATATGTCAGCCTTACCTGTTTTTATGGTCTCAAAGAATCCAATTTCCTGTTTGGTCAAAGCCCCAAACAGCATAACTTTGATTCGGCATGTAAAGGAGTGTATGGCACAAGTCAAGAGACCCCCTCTGCAGCCAGCACTGACAGAACTGATCAATCAAAGAGAAAATCTGTTAGATGTTACCTTTGAGGAACAGACAGAGGATAAATGTGGAGGAAAAACACTGCTTGACTCATACCTTCCCAGAGAGTAAAGGCCCATGAAAATAAGCGCAGACAGGAAGTCATTCTCCTGGTAATTACTTCCAAGGATGTCAATGACTCTCCCAGTGTAGAAAGGGATGAACATCTCACCTGAGAAGAGACGCACCAGGTGATATATCAATCAGAATCAGAATATTTTATCAATCCCTGAGGAAATTATTTATAATGACATTCATCAGTCCAAGAAAATCCCAAATCGAAAGCACCGCTTTGAAAATTAGATTACAGACCAGCCATTAGATACCAGCTCTTTTGAGGCTGTTTTCCGAAATTGAAATATTAATTCCGGTCTGTCCTTCAAGCTCGGGTCCTCTACCAGAGGCCTGGGAGCTTGAGGGTCCTGCGCAGTATCTTAGCTGTTCTAGGACTGCGCTCTTCTGGGCAGAGATCTCCAATGTTGTTCCTGGGATCTGCTGGAGGCACTCGCCTAGCTTGGGAGTCGCTGCACCTAGTGCTCTGATTACCACTGGGACCACTGTTACCTTCACCCTCCACATCTTCTCGAGCTCTTCTCTGAGCCAGAAATAAGGAACACGAAATGCCGGGGAAGTACCAAGGGCTCAAACTGTACATGTATATATATGTCAGCACTACTGTTATCTTAGCATCATTACCGCCTTTGTCAGATCCTAAAATATTAAATCTACTTACAGATAACAGCCAGCGACAGGAACACAAGTCCTCCAAACAGCAGGGGATAGTCGGGTCTGTACAGCCGGAGGACTCTCATGAAAAGCACTCTTGCCTTCTGTTTCTTCTTTTTACCTTCGACCTCTTCCTCGGTGTCCGGGATGGTGATCTCCCAAAACAGCGCAGCAGCGAGCGAAGCTCCGCTGAACAGCAGCCAGCAGCGCACATCTCCCAGCTGGCCGCACTGGCTCTCCTCTCTGTAAAGCGCGTTGGTCCCGGTCTCAAACACCGCGGGGAGCAGAGTGTGAGCCGTTATAAACCGAATCAGCAGCGCTTTGGGGTCCCCGAGTGTGAGAAGAGAGACACCGATATGAGCCAACCAGCGGAGAGCCGCAGAGAGCCAGAGACGCGTAAAGTGTCCAAAGACGCTGTGAAACACCGCAAATCCTGACGCGTAAAACAACGAAAGGTCGACAGAAACTGATAAAATAAAAGCAACGACTTTGCGCATTGTTGTTACTGTGATCGCTGCCATTTTTCGGCAACACTCGTCCTCAAATGACCTGCTGTGTCGCAGGACCAGAGCGTTAGGGTTAGTTTGCTTTCAGTTTCATTTTCTTACAGGATGAGGGGTTTCCCATAAATCCAAAATACAGAAGGCAACACCAGCTGAAGCAGGACGATGCAGGCCTGCTAAATAAGTCACCATAATCACTACTGCTGTCCAAACAGGCATCACTCTCCTTAAAACTAATACTGTACATTCAGTGTGTGAGACATTATTCCTTAAAAACAGCCTTTAAAGTGATTATTTACTGAAAGGAGGATCAGTAAATCTTTCAACAGTTTATATTTCAATTTGAATTTCACAGGACTGCGTCAGACTTGTCATATGTTTGTCATTTTCAGAATCTAATTATGTTCCATGTATTCTCAATGCTGGGAAGAATAAACTACTGTTCTTGATCCGTGAAACAACTCTGACTTTTAGTTTTAAGAGAGGGTCTCCCAGGCTAAATACCTCAGACAGTTGCTGTTGCTTCTAGTGTTTATAAATTGTATGTCTATGAACAGGCTGAAGATACTTCTGGGTTTTATGTTAAAGAAAAGTATATTAACTGCATTTCCTCCAGTAATTTAAGTAGTTAAAAAAGTAATACCAATAAAATTTACTTGGTAGTTAGACAGAATTCATTCTTCAGCCTCATGTGCAAGACTCTCTATTCCGTTTAAGACGGTATACAGATTACACTTCTCAAGATCTAGACTATCTAAAATATACCCCAGCATACCTGACCTGTGCAACACCTCCCCCTGTGATTTAACTGTTTTTTGCCTGCCCGTCGCTTCAATTATACTGGACGTTTTACTCTGAAGTGCTCTCTCATGTTTTGAGCGTTACTCTCAAACCATGTCCACTAGTTGCCATTTTTGGTGTTTCTGAGGACGCCACCCTGAACCTTAGTCGTAAGCAACTGGATATTATCACTTTCACTTTACTGCTGGCATGGCGTCGAATTTTGCTGTCTTGGAAAGCTCCTCACCCTCCAGCCCGATCACGTTGGCTGGAAGATGTTATGTTCTTCTTAAAAATGGAGAAAATAAAATTTAGACTCAGAGAAAATGTTGATAAGTTCTCACAGATGTGGCAGCCTTTTATCATTTACTTTAACTCATTGAAAACACTTACAACAGACTAAACTTTTGTACCATGGGGTTCCCTTTTGCTATGGTTTTGGGAGGGAGTTGATTTTTTAATTATTTTTTTGTTTGTTTGTTTTTTTTGTTGTTTTCTGTGCGTGGGTTGTTGTTTTTTTTGTTTTTCTTCCTTTTTTTTCTTTTCTCTTTCTTTTTTCTGTTTTATTGTTATCATCCGAATTTTAATGGCCTAATTTGTTTTGATATATGTCTTTATATCGGTTGGTACTTGCTGTATTGGGCCTGATATGTCAAATTACATGTGCAAAACTTTATAAATAAAGAGGGGAAAAAATTTACTTGGTAGTTAAATCAAAGACCAAATATTGTAAGCTTAATCTTTGTTATATTTCAAAGTCAATAGTTAAATGTCAACATTAAAATCATACTTTTGATAATAAACAGAAACATGGGACTTATTTTCTTTTATTTAATTATTGGTAAGTGTTGTTCAGTGTTTACATATTACAAGTTGACTTAGTTGACAGGTTTGTCAGAAGTGAGCCACAGCTGCTGTGAGGACAACAAACATGTCACTGATCAAAGAAGGTGGGTAACTGATTTCCTAGAACGACTTTCTCCTCTGTGCCGTGTTTATCAATGGTGACGATGTAGGCCACACCTCCGCTGGAGCCATCACGGTTCATTGCCAAAGACAGAGCTGTGACAAAGAATAAGAGCATCAGTAAGACAGGTGCAGAGAACATGTGAAAAAATACTTAAATATTTTTAATGAAAAATATTGTTGGTAGTCAAATCAAAACGTTTTTAACAGAAAAAAAGTGGAATAATAATCTTACTGTTGACAACAAACTGCTGGCACTCCTGCTTGTTCATGCCTCTGCGATACTCAGCATCAACAAACCCGTAAACATACGAGCTGCCAGAGCCGCCGACTGCAAACGGCTGACGTGTCAGGAGCCCTTTTAGAGTTGCAAACACCTGGAGGTCAAAGGGCACAGGAACACAACAAATGTCAAGTGTGTTGGTTCGGTAAGATGTCTTATTAAAAGCATTAAAAAGCAGCTTATATGCTGATATATTACCTCAGAGGGAGTTCAGACACATTATTTTCACATTATTAGATCACAAATTTATCTGTGATCTTTTAATCCGCTGACTTCAGTTTTCAGGCCCCTCTTCTGTGGAACCAGCTTCTAGTTTGGAGCCAGGAGACAGACACTATCTCTACTTTTAAGATTAGGCTTCAAACTTTCCTTTTTGTTAAAGCATATAGTTAGAGCTGCATCAGGTGACCCTGAATCCTCCCTTAGTTATGCCGCAATAGGTTCGGGCTGCTGGGGGATTCCCATGATGCATTGAGTAGTTCTTTATCAGTCACCTTTCTCACTCACTATGTGTTAACAGACCTCTCTGCACTGAATCACACTTGTTATTAATCTCTGTCTCTCTTCCACAGCATGTCTTTAATCCTGTCTTCCTTCTCTCACCCCAACCAGTCTCAGCAGATGGCCCCGCCCCTCCCTAAGCCTGGTTCTGCCGGAGGTTTCTTCCTGTTAAAAGGCAGTTTTTCCTTCCCACTGTTGCCAAAGTCATAGCGGGTCATATGATTGTTGGGGTTTTTCTGTATTGTGGGGTTTACCTTACAATTTAAACTGCCTTGGGGTAACCGTTGTTGTGATTTGGTGCTATATAAATAAAATGAATTGAATTCTTCCTTTTACATTGTAGCTAAAAACATGTTTACCAACCTGCCCTCCATCTCGTCTGTCCCAGCCGGCCACAATCAGGTGTGCTGAGAGCTCCTCTTTGTATTTGTATGAAATGTTCTTCACCAATGTAGCAGCTGAGCGAACCTGAGGATCCTCACCTATCTCAATACTGACAGAAGACAAAATAAAGTTAAATACATCATGAAACTGCAGCAGAAAGTGCAGACTCAAGTTAACTCTCCTTGCCATCTAAAGCAGGAAAACACATCTGGAAATCTATAAATGAGGCTAAATGTGAAGTGCTTGAATAATAAAATCTAATTAGGCCACAAAGAGAGTTTGATGTGTTTCACGGAGCACTGCACAGGCACTCTGACATACTCCCACTCCCTGGACCACAGTGTCATCGTACCTGTCTTTGGGACTGAGCAATCAGAAAAAATGTTGAGGGATTGCACTTGCTATGACTGAAATATGGTGAAATCTCAGTTTACTGTGTAGAAAAACTTCACAGTAAACTGTGTGTTGAATATTGAGCTGCATATTACTCTTTTACTCTGTTTGAATCAAATTTGAGTCAGCACAATGTTTGTTTTCCTTCATCAGCTGATGCATGTCATCTGTGGCTAATCAATGGTTCCAGAACACCCTGTGGTTACCACCGTACCACTTGCCGAACATGCTACTGCATGTTCAGCTCTGATCTTTACCACCTCTATGCACAACACAATACCTGCATTCATTTAAAAAAAAAACATTTTTTGTTTTTCTCTCCTTTATTAATTTTAGTGAACAGGAAACAGTAAAGCAAGTAAAAAGCGAGCATGGAAGTCATGAACCAAAGGGCCTCAGAACTAAGCCCAGACTGCCACATTTGGCCCTGCAGCATGTGGGTGCCCGCTCAACCCCTCAGCCAAAGTACCCCACCCCATTCATTTTAGATCTATGCTCCTTCTTATCATGTGAGATTTTGATTAATTGGAGTGTTCAACTTGTTTAAGCTTCTTTTATGCAGTAATTTAGAAACTTTTGGAAAAAATAAATTATTTTGTATTGTAATAAAACATATCTAGTGGGAAGTGTGTCACCTTAACATCCAAGCTTGAGGAGTATTCTAACTTCCATGTGAGATGAGGAATGTACAATGTAGTACATTATTATACATAATAAATTATATCCTAATTTATGACAGGATCACAGTGTCCTAGTCCTTCTTTCACGAGTTTACCTGTGCACATCCAGCTGATAGTTGACTATCTCAGCGATGGTCTGAGCGTCTGCTGCAGATCCTGACAGAGCACAGTAGATCTTATCATGGAGGGGAGACAGTTTGTTCATCACTCTGTTCACCACCGAGTCTCTGCGTGGAGGATGAAGGGAGAGAATGTAACCGTGTTTAAGGGACTAGAAGCACATATGGCGAACATTTTAGATGTTTAAAATTAAAAATCATTCATGTCATGATAACAAGTCAAGTTGAGTTATGTTGCACATTTAAGCACAGTTAAATGCATTAAACACATTATTATTATGATGGAATGGAAACTTACCCAGCAGACACTCGGGAGTCAGACCCCAGCACGACCCCACCATCATACTCTATGGCGATAATGGTTGTCTGCAAACAATGACACACAGTGACAGCAGCTGTGTTCAGGATTCATTCCGATAAACCTGCAGCGGTAATTTCCGCGTTTGTGCCACGAGGTCAGAAACTGTGCAGCGCTGTAACAGTTCACCAAGTTTCTTATAAACATGAAAGAAAATTCAGTACTTACTCCTGTTTTCACCTCCTCGGACAGCCACTCTGGTCCCGTTTCTTCAAACATGATAATGAACTGCAGAGACTCCGGTAACAACACACGGACAGTGGAGGTGACTCCTAACGTAAACCGAAGCCTTCAGTCGAGCAGCTCCGGTTTAATTTTACTTTTTAAGGTTTTAAAACCTTCTACGAAGCTCTTTGTTTTCAGTCTGATTAATCAAATCGGTTCTACAGTCAGGTTTTAGACGGACGCCATGTTTTCCTGAATAAATTTGAAACTGAAAGTTAAATCGTTCAAACTCTGCAGCGTCACAGGCTGTAATTCAATCAGCTGAGCTTCACTGTACATAATGAATACATCTAAAAGTGTTCAGTTAAAGAGGACAGAAAATAAAGCCTGGCAACAATAACATTATTTACAGAACACAAAATGTAAACAGGTGACAACTTAAAGGAAAATATAGAACAAGTACACATGCTTTCATACAATTAGCAATAAATCACGTGCTGAGGCACTTATGAAAGCAAGCATGCCCAGCTGTTTCTGACTGAGTCCTGTGGATTTTTGTGACTTTTATTTCATTAGGACACAGATGGCTTCACTCTTAATAACAGCTGGATGGTGTTCAATCGCTTAACAGTGAGGTGACATCTACTTTTAAATCTATTAGAAGGACGTCATTAAAAAGTTTACAAACCAAAACTTATATGAAATTTAGACAACCAATAATGTAATGAACTTGATCAGACCGCAATCTACTGATGTCCATCTTCTGTGGGATAGTCTTCCCAGAGAGAGTCTGTCACAGATGTCACAGACAGCCGTTCACGCTCACACCTATGGGCAATTTAGATTCACCAATTAACCTATCCCCACTAACTGCATGTGTTTGGATTGTGGGAGGAAGCCAGAGAACCCACACAAATACAGGGAGAACATGCAGAAAGGCTAGATGGTGGATTCAAACCATAACCTTCTTGCTGTGCAGCAGTGGTAACCACTATGCCAGTCTGCTGATGTTCCATATGGGAAGGATTTTAAAAGTACAAGTCTTGATCTGCAGAGATGTTGGAAAAAGTGAAGAGTCACCATGTTTTCACGATGAGAATCACACAGGCAAGAACCTAATTCTCCCACAAAGAGGGGATTCATTGGCTCTGCTTCCATCGTTATGTTGTGATATTTTCATTACATTAGGGTGGTCAGTAGTGATGGGAGTGGTCTCTTCCAGGGCGACGATACTCCCATCGATAGGACCTGAGTGGTCACCGAACAATTTACTGAAAATAAAAATGATGTGAATCATATCCCAAGAACTGGACTGTGTTCATGTTAATTATTTCATCATATGATTATCAAACATCTAACAATAAAAAAAATCCTTTAGAGGAAAGGCGCTCCATTTCTTCAGCAGAGTTTAAAAACTGTAATTCCCTTTAATTTGTCTAAAAAATAAAACAAAAGCTTTTGAAAATGTTATATTTTTTTATTCATTTTAATTTTCAATTTTGCACATAAAAACACAAAAACATGTAATTTGGTCACAAAACAGAACAGACAGATGAATTCTGTATAAATGAGCCTGCTTATGATTTCATAAGAAGACTCAGTTTTTACAGCAGTGTTTTTGTGGTTCACAGGTTGAATGTTAACTGTGTGTGTTTTGTGTGTCTGACTTTGTTACATCCTGTTCCTAAACAGACCAGACAGGTTAAACAAGTCCAGCTTTGAAACAACTACTCTGCGATTTCATTGGTGGTTTGATGGCAGGAGGAAGGAAGCAAGTCACTCATCATGGAACTTGGGCAGTTTGTCACCAGGGACAACCACATGCTCCACCCCCTTTTCGGTTATCACCACCAGGTGAGCGACACCCCCGCTGACGTTGTCTCTGCCCATGGCCAGAGCAAGAGCTGTGAGCAGGGAGGGATGAAGCAGAGAGAGGCAGAGGAGGAGAAAAGAAAGCAGGAAAAAACAGTTAAGCTGAACAAGAAGAGACAGTTTATAAATCAGCCACGAACAATAATTTCTATATATAAGACCTTATTCCCACATCTACAGTGTTACAATGATTGCCTAACACCATTATAAAGTATTATCCTAAACTCCTGTTATGACGATTTCTCCTCTGCTGTGATGATGACCTAAACTGATTTGAGAATATTTTGTTTCCTGGGCTGTAACCGTGACCCCTGACTATTATCTTTAATCTCTATCCGTAGATTAATGGTTATATTATGCTAAGAGATGGGAGAATGTGAAATTATCTACAGTATTCTGTGAAACTAAATATATTTGCGAAAAAAACATATAATTCAATTAAACAAGTAAGAAAACAAGAGTAGTTTGTAGAGGTTGTCACTGAGACAGTGACTTTTTAATGTAGTGAAATCATGTAGCGTGTCACTACTCCACCACCATTAATAAAAGAGGGAAGGAAGTACATCACAGTGATAAAGCTGTAGCTGCACACTGGTGTATGCTACTTAGTGTTTGCATCATCAGCACAGCTCTCTGTATGTTTTTTCTTTTGCTAATGACTCTGATTGGCTGTGGCACTTTTTGTCCCAGGGTCAGGTTGTTGTTGGTCTCAGGACATCACTTGGAAAATCATCATGTTACATATTTCTTAATTTTAATAGAAAAATCATAATTTTCTGTAAATCCATTTTGTAAATTTTCATATAAACACTGTGAAAAATCAGGTTGTTAAAGTGTGTAAACATGCATTAACAAAAAATAATTCATACCGTTAGTGGCAAACTGCAGACATTCCTCTTTGGTCATGTTGGGTTTGTATTTAGCGTCAACATAACCGTATATATATGTGCTGCCTGAGCCACCAATAGTAACCTGCTGACTGATCAACATCCCGCCCAGAGACACCACGTACACCTGAAGAGAGAAGGTGCAGTTACACACAGCAGAGTGGACTCACTGTCATCATCACTGTTTATATCTTCAAAGTGATCTTCTACCTGTGGTCCATTCTTCTTGTCCCAGCCTGCTGTGAGGAAGCCGGCCTGCAGCTCGTCTTTGTTTTTGTAGCACAAATCCTTCAGCACAGATGCTGCTGCGATCACCTGAGGAGGACTCTCCATCTGGACACTGCAGGAGGTGACAAGAGGAGAATGCCAGACTTTACATATTTTAAATTTATGTAGGTGAAGAATCAACTACGTTATGTATGAGAGAAGAAGGGTGATGGAGGAGTAAAAAAAAAGTTTAAAAATGATGCAGTAGGATTAATAAAACATACTTCTGTGTGTGTTGTACATGATTTTTCTGTGCAGACATGTGAAAGACATACCTGTGGAAGGACAGGTGGAACTTTGCAGACTTGATGACGGCCTGAGCGTCTGCGAGTGAACCGGCCATGCAGCAGAAGATCCGGTCGTGGACCTGAATCACCTTGTTGATGGTCTTAGATGAAACATATTCTCTGGAGAAGAAGTGAGAATGAATGTTTGAGCCACATAAATGATCATTTTTTGCTGATATTCTTTGTGATTTGTGATGGTTTCTTGTATGATTAGATTTTGGTTAATTTGGTAACATCTTAATAATTGGTCAAATGGAGAGTGATTTTAAATGTTAAAATTAGGCAATGGATAGCAGAGTGACACTTTTTTTTTAAAGTTTTTTTTTGTAGTTATATGTAGTTATCTTTAAGTTCTGTTATTGAAGTTTAAAATGAAATAAATAAAAATTGTTGATGACAAAAAAAAGTTTTTTTTTGGATATGTTTTTGTTATGTAGTGTTTTAAACACAATAAAAAAATTATTTATTTCAATAACATCTCAGAGGAGTCAGCATGCCCAAACAGAGGATCTCAGTGACTCTTAGTTTGTTCCTGAAATCAATACAATGGACAAAGGCACAGAAAGATTTCGGTAAGGAATGTTAAATCTGTGGTTATAAGTGAAATCTTAAAACTCATTTGCAGTCAGATCATGGTCATCTTTTTGTCTGTTTGCCTCATCATAAAGGTAACTAAACAGTCGCTCTGTTGTATTAAAGGATAACAATAAAGGCAGCTTCCTCACCCTCCCATTGAAGCCCTGGAGTCTGACCCGATAACGACCCCTCCATCAAAAATAGCAGCCAGGATGGTGGTCTGAGGGAGGAGAGAGGGACTGATGGTTTTCAGGACAGAATAAATATAAAACCCAAAACAAGATAAACATAACACAGAATCACAGGCAAGCTTTTCTCAGTTTTCTGTTCATTCGTCCACGCTATGAATTGTGGGATTTTGAGTTCTAAGAAGGGGTTTAGGTTGTTCATTGAAAACGAAAGTAAAGCCGATCGTTTGGTTTTTTAGAAACTTGAAAAAATAAAACTCGTTTAGAGCTTGTAAAATAACTTTTACTGATTATGAACCATCAGCTGGATTAGATTTCATTTTGTTTTAGGTTCGTGTTTAGGCGAACGCATCACCTGTTCAAACACGATATCGGCTAGAGTTTAAACCTCTAAATTTTACATATAATGACTTCTGTGTTTCATCTTTAGATAAAAACACTCGTCACCTGGTGCAGGTTTACTTACCCCAGTGCTGACTCCTTTGACTCGTGAGTCCGTGCAGTGTTTCTCCATTTTCACTCCAGGATCGAAAGAGAGGAAGGAGTTGACGCTCAGAACAGCGACCTCAGGCGCACCGAGACGCGCAGAGGAGCCGCACTCACCTCCACAATGGCGCTAGCAAATATCTTCGAAACTCCCGCACCTGGCTTTAACTTCGACAACGCGGGAAGGTAAGAGCTTCTTTTAATGTTCTCAGAGCTGCAGACTGAATCAGTGACGACAGAAATCAAATTAAACCGTCGGTTAGACCGAACTTTTATCCAGATCAAAAACGAAACTAACTTTTCCTGCTTTTATATCAGATTAATCAGTGAGACAATGCAAAGATCCGTGTAATTATAACTGTTATTACACTACGTAGGCACTGATTAGTTGTCTTACACACAAACACACCACCTGCCTGCACCCCCTCCCCTCTCTCTCCTCCTTAAAGAAACGCTGCATTAGAGGGTCTCTTTGATGGAGGAAACACTCCCAAACCTATGAAAACAGGCACCACCATCGCAGGAGTGGTGTTCAAGGTGAGTATTACACTGCTCTGATAGAAGTATGAATGGATAAAATAGTGACCTGCTGTGTTTTTAGTCCTTGAGTCATCACTGCCACACAAAACTCCACGAGTTTCTTTTATTTATTGGAATCAAAGTTTCTCTTGAATTAATGCAATAATCTTAGCATCAGAAAAACAAACAAAAG